CACACATGACACATGCATGCACGCATGCATGGTAATAACGTGTGCAACAAGTTAATAAAACCTAATTTATGAAATCGGGGGAAAGATCACTTTCATTCAAAAAAATATGAATATCACAAAATTCTGAACAAAAAGTATGTTGTACTAGCAACAAGAATCTGTCGGACTACAATATTTGAGATCCAAATTGAAAAACTCTAGGAAATCATAACTCTGTCTTGTGCTAGTGCTACGTCCTCGTTGATTGCTGTTTGTGGTAAGGCCCTCATAACGCTATCTTGTGCTTGTGCAGGTTCTCTGACAGCTGGCGTGGTGGGTTCTGTAGTTGGCCTAATTTTGTTGGCTTGTGCAGGTTTGATTTGGTATCGACGGAAGGGCACAGCAGGTTCGTGTGACCCTCCTAGCTGAACTATTGTTAATATTTTTTTACTCCCTTTGATCTATATTAATTGTCGATGATTGTACTAAATTAGGGACAATTAATATGAATAGGAGGGAATATAGTATGTTGTCTCTCATCCATTTCCAACAAGAAGGACTTATGTTGCTCTTTTTGTTTTTATAGGGAATGAACGAAAGTTTTTTCGTTTGCAAAACACAATACAGACACAGACGGACATGCAAACGCTTGCACACCCAAATGCTCACAAATTCACTTACCAACAATTGGTGGGTGCAACCCGTGACTTCGCAGACACGCGAAGGCTTGGACAGGGTGCCTTTGGTGTTGTCTATAAAGGTGCAGTGATGGTGCAAGACAAAGAGGTGGACGTGGCTATAAAAACGGCACTTGTTGTGTCAGATGAAGCTAGGGCTGCCTTTAAGAACGAGGTTGAGATTATGAGCCCGCTGAACCATTCCAACATTATACGTCTTGTGGGTTCGTGCGACGAAGAGGACAATCTCTTGCTTGTTTACGAACTAGTGGAGGATCGCAACCTTCAGGCTCGGCTTTATGGCCGTGGTGCTCGTGTGGACGCGGAACTAACCGGTGTAAGGGCTCGGGGTTCAAGCCTTGATCTGGATTGGCGGAAAAGGTAGTTAACACACGAATATATGTTACATAACTCCAAAGTAAATGTTTTTTAATATAACCTTTTCTTATTATTATTTTCCGTCATGGAAAGAAACCAGGATACTATAACCTTCAAATTACTTGTCTGACAGAGAACTCAATGTTTGTGTTTCAGGTATAACATACTGCTTGGAATAACCTGGGGTCTTGAATACCTCCATGCTAAATGCACTAAATGTGTCCTGCATAGGGACATCAAGCCAGGCAATGTGATGCTGGATAGGGACTCCAATGCTAAACTGTGTGACTTCGGGCTGGTGACGCAACTCACCCACGCAATAACCTCACGCTCGACGAACAACGTCATTGGAACACAAGTCTACATGGACCCAGCATACCGGAACACCGGGAAGATAACTAAGGAATCTGATGTGTACAGCTTCGGTGTGCTGTTGCTTGAGGTTGTATGTGGCGAGGAGCCAGTCCTAATTGACGGCGCTGGGAAAAACAGCCTCATCGAGAAGGTCCGAGAATGTGAGAAGAGAAATGCAATTCTCGATGCAGCTGACCAACAACTAAGGGGCGAGTTTGATGAGGAAATCAAAGCAGCACTATCGATCGGGCTCTGTTGTGTCGAAACAAGACGTGGTGACCGTCCAACAATCCAAATTGTGTTGGGCCGGTTATTAAGCCTGACCGGCAAATTAGCTTCCAATAACCGCCATCCAAACGCAGTGTGTGATGAGGTGTGAGTCTTGACAGAGGTAGGAGAAGATGTTCCTAGGGCAGCACAATAACAGTCAAGCCCTGCGTAGTATGTGGAAAACGAACTTCATCATTGAAGCTATATTCGCTGTTCGCTCGCCATATGCTACATCCATCCGTGTGAAGATGTGTCCGTGTGTGTTTGTGTACTTGATAGCAATCATGTAACTGTCGGTCATCTCATGATTCAATAAATCTTGTTGACATTTTCATTGACATCCTAATTTAACCAAGCTTGGTAGCCTTTTTTCATATCATCAATTTATCTGTCTAAAATCTTTTTATCGAGATCAAGAGTCAATCAAATGTATAAATAGCTCGCATGCTGTGTGAGCAGGAACTTGAATGGTACCAACATTCTACCTCTGAATTTATCCTGAAAGGTAATTAAAATACTAGATATTTCCATGGTGTCATCAATGGTAAACACTGAAAGAAACTTATTCATTCCCTACAATAGGAGGAGGGTACGATTAAGGAGCATGAGCAACTTAAATTGTATATCACCAATTATTATAAAAATCTGATTGGCACCCAGAGGAAGGATACTTCTCGATGGATAAGTCCTGAACAGATGACATTCCCTAGGTCTCTGATGAGGAAAATAGCCTTCTAACAACTCCATATTCTAAGGAAGTTAGAAATGTGGTTTTCCTAATGGAGCACAACAAACCCCCGGATCCGGATGGTTTGCTGAGTTCTACCAGAACTTCTGAGAAGTCATCAAACAGCATCTCCTACTTTTGTTTGGCTGCCTACATGCTGGCCAGCCGGAATTGTTTCGCTAAAAATTCGGTGAGATTAGGTTAATGAGGGTGAAAGGATGCAATAATATAGACCAAGCTACGTCCTTAAGGTTAGTTTTCAAATCTACACGAAAGTTACGACGATTCGGCTAAATTTGGTTGCTAGCCATGTGGTTCATCCTTCATAGACTGCTTATTTGCAAGGCAGAAATATCCTAGATGGAGTTGTTATCCTTCATGAAACAGTCCACGAATTACATCCAGAAAAATTGAATGGGGTGGTACTTAAAATCAGCTTTAGAAAAATCATATGACAAATTCAAGCGGTCTTTTCTTGACAAACTCTCAGAATGAAAGGATTTTCTGCAGAATGGTGCGCTATGATCCATAGTTTCCTATCTGGAGGTAGTGTGGCCATTAAAGTCAATGACTACATTGGACAATGTTTCGAAAGGAAGAATGGATTGCGACAAGGTGACCCAATATCGCTCATGCTATTCATTATCGTGGCTGATATGTTAGCGGCCATGATGGAGCATGCCAAGGATGATGGCTGATACGTCCATTTTGCATCATGTTTTCCTATTGATATTTATTGCATTATGGATTGTTATTTCACGTTATGATATAATTATTATGCCTTTTCTCTCTTATTTTGCAAGTTTCACATAAAGAAGGAGATTGTCGGCTGTAGGATCAAAAGTATGTCTAGAGGGGGGGGTGATTAGAATACTTGACCAAATAAAAATCTATCATTTTCTCAATTTTAGTTGTGGGCAAACTTTAGCAATTATGACGAGTCAAGCAATCAATCTACACATGCAATTCTAAGAGTATAGCAACATAATGTAAAACATAGCATATGAAGATAAAGGGAAGGATTTGGAGAAGGCAAATGCAATGGAGACACGAAGATTTTTGGAGTGGTTCTGATAGTGGTGCTATCGTACATCCACGTTGATGGAGATTCCAATCCACGAAGGGTAACGTTGCGTGAGTCCACAGAGGGCTTCACCCACGAAGGGTCCACAAAGAAGAAACCTTATCTATCGCACCATGGCCATTGCCCATGAAGGACTTGCCTCACTCGGATAGATCTTCACAAATTAGGCGATCTCCACATCATGTCAGAGGCTCCCAAGCGGCACCTAACCAATCTAGGAGACACCACTCTTCAAAAGGTAATAGACGGTATGTTGATGATGAACTTCTTGCTCTTGTGCTTCAAATGATAGTCTCCCCAACACTCAATTCTCTCTCACAGATTTGGCTATGGTGGAAGAGGGATCTGAGTCGAAAGCAACTTGGGGAAGGCTAGAAATCAAGATTCAAATGGTGGGAATGGAAACTCTTTATCTTAACACCTGAGTAGGTGGTTCTCTCTCGGAAAATGAATGGTGGAACTGTTACTAGTTTATGTTACTACATTTATAGTGGGAAGTAACATCTATGTGGTATCATGCAAACCATCATTTATTAAGATGTAGACTCATTTTACCTTGGGATGTGTTATGTTACAGTAACATATTATGTTACTTCAACCATCTCTCTCCTCATTAAATACATGCCATGTAAGTAAATTTTTCTTGAGATGTATTATGTTACTTTCTAAGTTACTCCCACTATGGCTAGCCTAACAGATATGGTCTGACTACCAACAGTGTATTTTTTATTCATCACAATTAAAAACAGTGTACTGTTAATTCTATAGGTGGGCCTGGAAGAATGTGCACCATCATAGGTTTTCGAACAATAGCTGAAAATGTAGATAGAAAGACGAGGTCGTGGTTAATGAATAATTACCATAAGATCGGCATAGATCATGTGATCACCATCATCAAACTGGACCAAAGCACCCTATACATGCACTTGAGCAGCTGGACTTCATCAAACTATTTGGCTTTGACTGACTTCTTGTTTTCAGCATAGCTTGTAGCGACTTTTCTGGAGTAAATAGCATAAAACTACTACTTTACAGGCTACGGTTCCAAAAAACTACCGGTTTTTAATTTTTCTCAGATAACTACCAAATGAGCGGTCGGCTGTTTCAGAAAACCCAAAACATTCCTTGCTGGCGATTTAAACTATTTTATGACAGGTCGGGCCCACCCCTAAACAATCCGTTTGTTTGACCGTTTTGTTTGACTGTTACCTTACATGTGGGACCCCCTGTAAGTTGTCTCTTGTTCCTCTATCTTCTCCTCTCTTCTCTGGCTCTTTCTTCTTCCTCCCCCCTGCCCGACTACCCCCACCCGTCGACGGCCACCTGCACATTCCGTCATGCGCTAAGACAAGGATGACGGCGGGAACGAAGGACGCGCGGAGGAGAAGCTGCAGCGTAGGAACACGGGTCGCTACCATCCGTGTGCCATGGCTAGGAGCGCGCCCGCGATGCCTAGGAGCAAGGGCCGCCGCCAAGAGCGCGAAGGAGAATGGGTTGCCACCAGTCGCGGCAAGGAGCATGGGTCGACACCAGCCGCGCCATGGCCAGGGGCTCGGGCTGCCGCGCCCAGGAGCATGGGCCACTGCGCGCCATGGCAAGGAGCAGTGGCAGCCACTAGTAGAAAACAGGGCTATGGTCACGGGGCAATATTCACATTAGTCCCGGTTCAGTCACGAACCGGGACTAATGTGAGCATTGGTCCCGGTTCATGCGGCTAAGGCATTAGTCCCGGTTCACTCGGGCCCTTTAGTCCCGGTTTAAGACATGAACCGGGACTAAAGATTACACATTTAGTCCCGGTTTGACGCACGAACCGGGACTAATGGGGTTGAGACCTTTAGTCCCGGTTCGTGCCACGAACCGGTACTAAAGGTCCCATTTTCAAACTCTACACCCCCCCGATCGCCTTTTCTGTTTTAAAAAAAATAAAAAAAAATGATGGAAATGTCAAAAAAATAAAAGAAAATAAGTTTCCCATGTGATATGTGGTCTAGTTGTTGGGAAAATTTGCAAATGTGAATTTTGACTTTATTTGCAAAATCTCTCTGAAATTTGTAAAAATGAGCATAACTTTTGCATACTAACTCGGATGAAAAAGTTTTTTATATGAAAAATCATCTACTCAAAAAGTTACATCCGAATTTAACTGGGGGAACCCCGTTAAACATTTGCAAAATCCTCAAAAACCTAATAGAAAAAAAGTTACGGGCTTTTAAGATCTAGAGTGGAAAAAATCGAAAAATATTCAAACGGTGGGCAAACTGTGGTCAAACAATGGTCAAACTAATTATTCTAGAATATTAGTGTTAGTAAATAATTATTTTTTTTATTTCAATTTTGGTCAAATCTGGTCAAACTGTGGTCAAACTGTGGTCAAACAATGGTCAAACTAATTATTCAAGAAATATTAGTGTTACTAAATAATTATTGTTTTTTAAAAAAATAGTTTCAAAATAAAACTATGAAATGTGTCACTTCATGCTCAAGCAAAATTCCTGAAGGTTAATAGGATTGACATCTCAGTATTGTTAGGAAAACAACAAGTGCAGACTTGGAGCGAGGGAGAATAGAACCCGGAAGTTAAGCATGCTCAGGCTGGGGGAGTGGGAGGATGGGTGACCGTTCGGGAAGTTAGATGATTTGGAATGATGAGGGGTGATTATAGGATAAATTGAGAAGTGATGAGGGGTGGTGATTATAGACTAGAGGTTAAAATAATTCA